ACTGATACCGATACCACTAGTTTTTTGGTACATTACATTTAAATGAACACAATGATTGGTAGTTGTGAAAATAGACCTTTGTTACTGGCTGACTAATGTGTATAAAACTTGCCTCTTTTCCGAAAGACCCATCTAGCCTACATCATTTTTGCTGTAAAATGTGACTGACTTATCATTTGTAAACATGCAGCGCTAGAAATAATATTGTGGTAGTTTATGGGTAAAAGTAATCACTTAAACACGGTACAGTACAGGCAAGATCAGCTTTGTTCCCATTTATGACAATTTACCGGAAGAACATATGCAATGTTTGTCAAAGTAGGACTTCCATAACTTTCCACAGTGTAATCCTTCATAAGAATTTTGTAATTTCTACAATATGATCATCTGCACTCCAATCACCTCCTCATACTTTAAGACGTCATCAAATAATCTCCATTACAACTGTTAACAGAAAGACATTCCCAGCTCCTTTCTTGACTCGTGTTGCTTCCGCTGGGCAGAAGATTGGTGAAGTTGGAAAAGCGCTCTCATCAGTGCGGAAACTTTTTCTCAACAGGGTATCATATCTCAGTAAATCCCAGAAGTTAATGACCACTGTGCCACAGAGGGCTCTTCTGTTTTGCACCAGATGCTAGATTTTTGGAATTCCCCAGATTCTAACAGCACTTTTCCAGCTTGAGTCCCGGCTTGAATGCAGCATCTCATTAGCCCGGCTCACTGATAGACTGTGACAGGCATGAAACTCGACACCAGCTGCAGACGTCTACTGTACATTTCATCGGGTTTCCCATCATGATAGAAAAAATAGCTCTCCGCATTTCTGATTGTTTTTCTTCCGTATCCCTTGTCTCAAAAATGCCCTGTTCGGTTATTCCTTTTAGCTTTCATGTGAAGAAAGTGCCTTTTCAACTAATGACTGAACTACAAACTAAAGTCAAGTTAGAAGCGGTTTGCTGTCGAAAAAAATACATATATTTAGGCTTAATCGCTGTAGATTAAAGAAAAAAAAACATTGGCATTCAGTAACATTTTGCATTACATTTTTTTTTTTTGTCTCATGTTATCAGTGGGGATCAATTGTGTGAAACTTTATGGCTCATGAATTAATCTTCTTAATACCAAGAAGAAGAGGCAGTATCTTCTTCTTGTACAATAAATCAGTTTGTACAATATAGGAGAACACTTTTTTTTTTTTTTTTAACTCAACTGTTTTAGCTACAATCGCTCCCACTTTGGTTGGGCACCAAGATTTCTATCTCCATACCCTCCTATATGCCTGAAAGATTAATAATAATAATAATAATAATACATTTCATTTCTAAGCGCCTTTCAAAACACTCAAGGACACTTTACAACCAAAACAAGAACAGTAAAACCACAGATAAAATTATAAATAATAAAAGGAGAGATGAATAGCGATTTTAAATAGTTCACGCCAGCAACATCGCCATCGCGAGGAGCACTAGCCGACGCAGCCAGGCCGGCCAACACGCCGTGGTCCGCGGATAGGCCGCCGATTAGACTAAAATTTGCTTCAATTAAAACCAACACTGTGGGATCATTTAGTCAAATGTGAACATGTTACTCTGAACCCTGATGCAGACCAAAGAAGATGCCCCAGACCATGTAAAAAGGGAATTATTTTTGCTTGTTTTTTTTTTTTTTAAACAATGCAAGTTTTAGTGACCTGTTACAACTGCCAGTGTGAAAGCTAAGAAAGCCGAGCTCAACATGAGCCACATTCCCCCACCACCAAATACTGACAAATCGGTTTGGTACCTATTATTGAGGTACCGGTAATTTATAAATGCTGAATGTGTAAGGCAATAAAAGTTAACTAATATACTGCATGCACAATATGACAAATACCAAACAAGGGTCTACGGGTAATCACAACAAACAACAGCCGTGACACAGATTACTGTCACTGTTCATGAACTGTACAGGATTCATAGGTCACACAGCACAGACACAAACTGGCAAGAATACATTTTGTGAAACACAATAGCAGACCATAATACTCTAGCCAACTGGCCCCTTAGCGTCAACTGTGGCGGACCAGAGAGTAAGTTTCACTTTATCTAGTCGTTCCTTCTGCCTTCACAGCCTCAGCACGTACAGCTGCATCCTAACAAAGCCCACTTTCTTCCAAGAAGACCCTGTGATAATGAGCCTCTGCCCAGAACCACAGGCAAGCAGTGAGCAATGTCAACAGCTCGGAGCTGACCTCCTGAACGGGCCTTCTTTCTCGCTTTCTTTCAGAGAGGAAAAACCTGCACCGCACTGTTAGGATGGAGAGCAGAACCTGGCCTCTGGGAATTCCTGGTGTCCAATGCTAACAGGCACCATGCGGGGAATTCATGAACACACACTGAAATACAGACAAATGAGGTAGAAGATGAATTGATTTTTACTAGATTACAAACTAGATGGAATGTATGCCTTCTCCACAAAGTGTACTGTACTGTACTGTGACTCGGCATGACTGGATTCTCACAATTCCTCCACCTAACCTTCTCTCATTCGATGATCTTTTTAACTATTCACCCACACATATACATGCCCACTGAATATAATTATCTTTATTCACCAAATTTTGAAACTGCCACAAAGTGTACTGTCCTGTGACTCGGCATGACTGGATTCTCACAATTCCTCCACCTAATCTTCTCTCATTAGATGATCTTTTTAACTTTTTAACCTATTCACCTACGGAATATAATTATCTTTATTCACCAAATTTTGAAACTCAAGGCTCTATTTTCGTGCCCAGTGAAAGTCTAATGCAAAGTGAAAATATGCAACTGTGCACATGGGTGGAGTTTTTGTAGATGGCCGCATCCCATGCAAACAAAGCGGCTGCCCTCATTCCCTTCAAATTCTGGCGGCGGGCTACATGGCGGAAACAAAACAAAGTCGCTTGAGTCCATGTCGGAGATCCCCATGCGTAAATTACGTTTATCAGGAATTGCAAGAAGAGCTCCACTTGCAAGTGATGTAAAGTTCAAATCCAAACATCGTACATGAATCTTATGCGCCATTAAAACGTGAAAATGACATTTAGAACCACTTCACATTTTACACCATTTATTTGGGCAATTTCTCACATTTGAATTCTGAAAGAATATTTCAATAATTCACTGCCATTGCACAACTTTAAGGTTCATTTATGACCACGTGGGCTTCATCTGCTAATTATGAATACAACAACTGTAAACACACAGTAGGGTAGTGAATGACAAGTTAGCATGTCCGCTACACAGCGCAGAGGTGCAGGGTTTAATTTCAGCTCCGACCTTCCTGTGTGGAATTTGCATGTTCTGCCTGTGCCTGCGTGGGTTTTCTCCGGGTACTCCAGTCTCCTCCCACATTTCACAAACATGCATGCTAGGTAAATTGAACACTCTGTATTGTCCCTCAGTCTCACTGTGAGTGTGAGTGTCTGTGTTAATTGAATACTCTAAATTGTCTCTCGGTGTGATTGTGAGCGCGAATGGTTGTTCGTTTGTGTGTGCCCTGCGATTGGCTGGCAATCAGTTTAGGCTGTACCCAGCCTACTGCCCGATGACAGCTGGGATCGGTTCCAGCACGCTCGTGACCCTCATGAGGATAAAGCGGTTCAGATAACGGATGGATGGACATTCCCAGAGGAAGCAGTAAACCTTTTCAAAATGCCAGCCAGTGTTTGCTTTGGTAGCTACACAAGCGCAACATTAATCACATTGGATAAGCACTGCAATCGACAGCAAAAACCCTCTGTGATGAATATGTTGACTAATCTGTGCCAGTTTACAGACTGCAATAAGAACACCCATATGGATTTCAAAGTCTCTGGCGAAGTTAGAGTCTTGGCTGACTTTCTGTTCCATTTTGAATTAATTGATCTTTCTCTGAATGAAAATAATAACGGTTCATGGAAACGCTCAGAAACTCCACTAACAGCACAACTTTGTGTTGTTTAAATTGGGTGCCAGTGCATTGAGAAACATTGCAAAAGTTTTGTCAATTAAACCACTGATAAAACGTTTTCTCTATATTTTGCTGATTTGGTGCAACAATTCCCAGCTCACATTATTATTCCCACTTATTAGGAGACTTTAAAGTCAAACTGCTACCAGAAAGAATATACTGTATATTATTGTATTGTTGGCCAAAGCATTTAACAACCGGACACCGGAAGAGCTTCAAAGATGTTTTAGAAAAAGTTCACACGGGAGGAAAGTTGTGCGCTGCTTACAGTTGTCTTTTGCAAATTAGATATTATGGACGACATACACAGTGTCAAAAACAATTTTGGTAAGTGGTAAATATCCATCCATCCAAATATCCATTTTCTTATTCGCTTATCCTCACAAGGGTCATGGGAGTGTTGGAGCCTTTCTCAGCCATCTTCCGGCAGAAGGCGGGGGACACCCTGAATTTGTTGCCAGCCAATCAGGGCACACATAGATGAACAACCATTCGTGCTCACTATCACACCTAGGGACTATTTAGAGTATCCATTCAAATGACGGTGCATGATTTTGGAATGCGGGAGGAACCCAGAGAAAACCCATGTTGGCATGGGGAAAACATGCAAACTCCGCACAGGAAGGCTGGAGTCCAGAATCAAACCCTGGACCTCTGTGCTGTGTTTCTCACGATGTTGTGTCATCAGAAGGTGAGTGAGAAGACTGTTGAAGAACTCTTAATCATAAGTAAAAACCCATTCCCCATTCTATTAATTTTGAGTAATAGTTATTAATTTATGTCATTTTTATTCCTTAAAATCTACCTCAATTGTAATGGGTAATGTAGATATGGAACGTAATAAAAGTGAGGTCAAGTTGACTCCATTTATATGAGTAGCTTTCGAATTAAGGTTCTCTTTGATTAAAATGTACCCAATTAAAGTGGCTGCAAATTGGTACCCTGCATCTATTTGAAAGATTATATGGGTTGTTTGTATAATTTATCCAAGTTGATTTGTTGGTGTTAAGATAATATTATGTACTCACGTTTTTGATTTGTTGAGACATCACATACGGTAGATGACGGCAGGGTGGACAATCGAGGTGACAGTCTGCATTTTACCAACAGTTCTGGTTGCATCTCCTGGCAGAGAAAGAAAATGTGTGTTAGTGAGAGTGATACCGGGTGACATTAGTGACACCATTTGAAATCAATGGGGTCCACTTCAGATCCTTGTCACATCTGTCAAAATTAATTACATTCTGAGTGGATAATAGGCCATGAAATCAGGTTCCACTCAGCGACATAGCCCCAGACTGATTATCGTCATTTATTATAGCACACATTGTGATCCAGAAAATATTGCCAACATTTTATATTTTATTGTGCATGGAATAGTTCAAGTCAGAGGTTTACAACATTATAAAATATGAGACATATTATGGCTACTTGGAGTAAAAAAAAAAAAAATAGAAAGATAATTATGCAGAGTGATGCGAGAAGAGAAAAAGGCCGTCTTGGAATCTTGACCATCCAATATGTTTAATCCCCAAATTGTTTTGTTTGATTATTTCTTGATCAGCCATAGAAAAGGGGAAAAACTGCATTTCACAATAAAAAGAAAATAAATCCACATGAATACAAATGGTGGTGTTAATGTCTAAAAATTGAGTTACAGTGAAGTCTAATTTGGTATCATCGTCAGTTCTCACCACAGGAAGATACTTGTGTTCATATAATTGTAACTACATTTTCGAAATGCATCATTGTTGGAATCATACTTAATTTACCAATATTGTTTCTCATAATATCAACATTATTGTAATTGTGCTAAATTATTCTTGTCATATTTGTTTTCCTTTTCGATGAGTGAAATATTTCTCCCAAATTTTATGGCCGATCTACGGTGACAAGCTAATGCTGATGGTTACTTTATCAAGTAGCTAACATCACAAAAAAGTGTTGTGAAATGCTGAAAGGTAAAGCAAGCGATGCTGTATGAGATTTTCAAAACAAAAAGGAACACTTCCCAAACATGTACCAGTCTCATTTTCCAGCAGGGGTGCTGTGCAGCGCAGAGACTAAATAAAGCACAGATCTTCCATTTTATGATGAATTATATCCCTTGTTATAGCTCACCACCAACTTCAACAATCCTATGCATCACCTTGCCAAATTCCCCAAATGGACCCAAACTCCCATTTGTAATGATCATGTGGGCTCTGTCACCCACTTCCTCTTTGGAATAACGTTAAGCCATCTGTGGCGTCGTGGAAGTAGATTACACAGCCCGGATGGCTGCCATTCGCACTGTTCACAAACCACTTGTATTAATGGTAAATCCTACTGAGCTCTTCTGGGAGCAGATGTGACAAGTTGATTTTTTTTCTCCCCTCCTCTCCCAAACTGGAAACTTTGCAAGGATATTTAAATCCATGGTGCCTTCTGTCCCATCTGATTTTGAAAGACTTGTTGGCAGTCACAGTAAGCTCATGATTCACTTATAGCAACCAAGAGGTGCAGTCTGACTCCATTTATGAAAGTCTAACTTAATTAGCCCAAGTGGAGACCTGTCCAGGCCTGCCAAGAGCATCACGGATCACACAAGGTTAACTGAACCATAGTTCGTTTTTTTTTTTTTTTTGAGTTGCGCTTTATCTTGGTATACTGGGACTCTGTCTTTCCTCTTCTTGTTCCTTGAATCGGTCGATATGTCTAAATATAACACATAATTAATTTGTGCCACACTGAAGTAGCCCGGAGCTGCATCGGAGACACTATCTATGACAAATCTGGGGCACTGGGAATATTAACAGCAGCGGATGGTGGTCAATCTCAATGCAGCCTGTCAGATAAATTCAAATCCTACTCCGCGTTGCATCGTATTCGTCAAAGCTAGTCGTAAAAAAATTGGGCCTGAAGGATAGGTGGTCTTCAAAACATTGATTTTAAACATGACTAAATATGACACATAACATACACTTTAAATGGAACCAATCTACGCACCCTTGAAGCTAAATAATATATATTTATCGAAGCCTCACCTATCAGGAACATAATCATTGAATATTGACACCATCCCATGAAAAGTTGATATCTCAACTTTATGCTGATTTTGATTTCGAAGGAACTCTCTGGGTTCTATATTTGTAGAGGGCACATCTGCGCTAGCGCATACAAACTGGTGCATCCTGATTTTTGTATCAACCCACATTTCACGTGTGAGAATATGGACGACTCCTGCTCTGTATCATATTGAGCATTCTGGCGTACTGAGTGTGTTTCCTTTGAAATGCACCCAGCACAACCTGTCGATTTGGTGGTTGAAAAACATCTAAATGACTGCTAGAACCACATCCAAGTATTGGCACAGGTAGTGTGGCATAATTTGGGCAGATTTGATTGGGGCACAGGCAGACAGATTCTGCGCTCCACGCGTAGATGTGTCGTTGGTCGTATATTTCATGCAGAAAGTTTACAAGTGTAGCTTGTTTTGGAAAATCGGTCATACATTGTGGCCACTGAGGCCCTTGTTTCATAATAAGATGCATGTACTGTGAAATATCTGAAATACAGAAGCATAAAGGAATAAAAGCAATTCCATATTTCTTGTCTTATGAGACCAGTGTCAAAGCTGAACCCTCTAAACAAGTTAAAAACTCAGTTTATTGTTCGATGGTTGGTTGAGTTTTGGTAAAATGTGGTTTTAACCAGAAACAAACAAATTGCCACAAACACCAAAATAAACTTTTTTTTTTCTTGACAGGTGAGTAAATCTTTCTAAATCCCTCAGGAAAATGAAACCTTTTAAATAGATCATGGCATCGAAATAAACCTCCACAATTTTCAATTTGATCTGTGGAAAGTCTCTGGAAATGTGATTTTATGCTCTTTTTAAATGATGATTTTACAATCTACAGGTAATTAAATATGTGGAGCACGCTACAGTATATTAATTAAGCTCTCTCATGAGCAAACTTCATTTGACAGATTTGGTTGATAACCCCACAGGATTTCAAGAACGATATGTTGTTTCTCTCTTCGTGGTGCTGTGGGAAATTATTTTTGTGTTGTACAAATTCAACTATTTACCGCAGACTTTGTCAAACGTACAATTGTGGTCAAAAGCAATCCAGTCTGACAAGGAAATTAAAAGTCAGTGACGGGGAGACTTTCAAACAAGCAAACATATTCAACATCAGAATAATAGTTTTCCTTCTCTCAGATCCGCCTGACAGCCGGTCCAGTCCAGGCCCACTTTAATTTCCTGTCAATCACCGATATTTTTTAATAAAATCTAAATTGCTTTTTTTTTTTTTTTTTGTAGCCTCAAACCTGAAGCATAGTTTATCTACAAAGTGTTGTAGCTGAAGTCAAAGTCAAACAGACTTTTTTTTTTCTGTCTTTTAAGCAGACGATCCTGCCTATATTTTACAGAAGCCTTGACAGTTGCAAGGTAAGCACACATAATTTATTTTAAGATCTGGCTTGTCTGGCAGAAATGAGGAAAACGGCAATTAACTTGTTTCATGACAGTTCTTGAACATCTTTATCATTCTGATAATCTTTATCGATCTGCTCTTGCTTCACGTGCCAGCGTGCATGGAATTAGCGGTATAAGAGTGACGATCATTGTGTTATTTTGTTTGAATGATGGAACTGTGCAATATTTAATTTTATTTTATGTTTTATTAAAAAAAAAAAAAAAAAAAAGAAGAAAGAAATAATTATCACCCTGATGGGCTATGGAACTGGGAAATGCAAAACAAATCTGGAAGAGCCAGGCAAGCTGGAAAAATGGTACCATCCGAAATGAATAATTTAATCCTCCAAGTGTTTTTCAAAGCTGCTCGCCAGGTGGTGAGACTCCCAACAGCTGTCTCATTGCCCAGTGTGCACTCAAAGATCAGACTGTGATTTTCTTCAAATGGTGGGAAAACTGTGGCCAGATGATAACATTGTGGTGAGTACAAGACGACATGCCAGCAGACATTGCTTGTCACTGTCTTTTTTGGCTTTGTGGTGAAAACAGTGGTGTTCCACATGAAAAGAGGAGGCGTACATTGAAGAAGAAGCTCCACACCTGAAAATGTCTCGGCAGTTTCTAGACATTTCTTCATTGCTCAACATCAGTACGACACTTTCCCAAAGCTTCTAAGTGGTTTACTTATCTCCTATCCAGCTTATGGATAACCAAATATTTGAATGCCTGCACACCCGATGAGTTGAGCGGACGTTTTTTTTTTTTTTTTTGCACCACTAGGCTCAAAAGGTTGTGCACCTAAATATTAAGCAAATGCGGACATCTTTATTTTTGTCTGAGCCAATTTCATGACTTAGTTTAAAAAAAACTGACAGTTGACCCAAATTGAAACCACTCCTTGATTTTCAAAGTTTATTTTTAGTACTCATTGATTGTTCAGTATTTATTGATTGATCTATTTTATCAATTAGGGCTTTTGTAAGTTTCAAATTATTTCGATACTGCTCATTATGTTTGTGGTTGTGGGCAGCATTGACAAGAATTATGAATTGAAGAGGATTGCATTTGTCGATCAGAAATAAAAAAAAAAATCTAGACATCAATTATGGTGGCTTTTTTCAATATAATTTTCAAAATATAGAACCTAAATCACAGTCTCATTCCAACCAACAACTTTTTGTTTACACATTGTACCTGATAGGCAATTTAGAGTCTTGGAATAGGCTAACATGTTTCTGGAATGTGGGAGGAAGCCAGAGTAGCAGGAGATAAATCCACGAGTCCACCGTGCTGCCCCCATCTAATTGTAATTTGTGATATATTTATTCATTTTACAAATCACAATTGAAATAGACAAAAATAATTATGATTAATGCACCAAAATAGAATGTTATCCCAGATTTGTTGCGAAGCAGAATTTGTGGTATTGCACAATCATTTGTCTCAGGTGGTGGAATTGATCCATAACCTTGGGGCTGAACCCCCCTCCCCCCTCTTTTCCCCAATAGAATAGGCACAGGAACTCAGGCACATATTTGCGATATTACTCCTAAAAATGGAATAATCGCTCTGTCTTAAATATATCATGCATAGTGTGAATAATAAAAACGTTGTCAGAAAGTGATGCTTACCCCACAATGCTCGAAATAGATTCACCAGT